AAACTAACATAATATGCGGTATGCGTATCAGCACCCCGAAAAACCCATGGCAACCACACTTTACGACGTTCTAACAGGTCCCAATTTTCCCGACTTTTGGGTCATTGACCTGACCTCAGAGTTCACCATGTGACCTATGACGTTAAAACCGGGTACTGTTTGCTTCGTCTCGTGACGACCTACACGTAAGGGCGGCGCCACCGTGGGGGCAGTGGGGGCAGACTGCCCCCACTGGCAGGAGGCCGTGGGGGCAAGACTATATTTTTGCCCCCACAAAATTTGGTTGATGTTGAAAAGGGAACAGAAGACCAGTGCAACATTCATGATAAGCGGTTATAATAGTACGTCTGTTTTTGACGGTCCCCGTATCAAGTGCATCAGCAAAACGTTCGTTCTCGGACCGTTTGTCGCATATCTCCTACTCCCACTCATTCTCCTACTCATGTTCATTCACCGTGATTGACTCCCGACAAATCATCGGCGTCACTTGCTGGCTGTGCGTTCAGTTAGCGATGGACATTGTCTACAGACTGGTAGGCCTCAATCACCCTTAATCGTCGAGAATGGTCGCGTGCTGACTAAATACCAAGACGTACCCGTATCGTAGACCTCTATGTTGCGGCGTTAGCCGTCTCTGTAGGAAGCGGGCTCTCTAGCAAAAGCTATTTTGTCTACAGAAATTAGTTACTGTGGAGCATATTGCTACGAGCCATGGCAACCACGTAAGCTCAGTTACGAACCAATTCCAGCGTGCCTTTAAGCAAGAGAGCCTATAAACGTAAAGTTTAGGTGAAAACGAACTTATGGGACACCCTGTAGATATCCACACGAATCTCATGTGCTTTCAAAGATTTTTGGGATGTTTCGGTTGGTTTCAGGTTCAGTCCGAGCTCAGTCTGGGTTTCGGTGGTTTTGCCCGGTGTGTGCCCTCAGTTCCGTTCATCCAATTCTGGCCCAAGGCAACGCAAGAGCGCTGCCGGCATCTAGTAATTAAGACATGTTTTCCCATCCTGAGGCTCTTAAATGAATGCTTAGAGCAAAATGGATGCCAGAATCGTGATCAGCGGCTACGAAATCATCACCAAGGACTTTTCACGTGTCAAAGTCAACCAAAGGTCATTCGAGGTCACATCACACATGAGTACCATAATAATTTTGAATGGCAACATCTAGGGGCAAGGTGCTCATGGATTTTGCAGATTTGCTTATCAGACAACAGTCGGGTCACCTCAAGCTTGCCCCCACTGGCGAAAATTCGTGGCGCCGCCACTGCCTACACGATGGGTTTTTCCGCGAGGCTCTAGCTCAATTAGGGGTCAAACGCGAGGGGGGTCGACGGGTCGTATCACCCTTTGCCGTATCACCCTTTGTGCTTGTCGAAGGACGCAAAATGGCCTATGCCGGGGAGGGTTAAAATCAGGTACCTACCGGTCGCTGCGACTCGTAACGGCACACACGCTCGCTTTTTCGCGAGGCTCTAGTTCAATTAGAAGGGAGGGGGTCTACCCCCTCGGCCGGCATATGCAGAAAACCAATAGGTCCGGCGAGGGTGAAAGGTCATTGGGGTCAGTCATAAATATTTAGAGCATGTTTAAAATTCATTAACTGGAGGTCACTAAAGTTTCGTCGCAATAGGCCGTTTTTTTGCGAGCTATTTGCGAAAACGTGAGGGGGGTTTACCCACCCACACACCCCGACCCCGATATATGCGATGGTTAACCCTCGCCCGTATAGGGGGGGGGGGGGGGGTCGAACGTACCCTAGCCTGTCCCACTTTAATATAGGGAAATCCAAAAAGTGTAGCACATATTCAAACACACTTTACTTTTCATCCCATTGCTAAAAGGAAGCTTCCTACAAATTTTTGAGTCAATCGGTCAATGTTTAGGGGTCGCGCCAAAATGTAGATTTAATAATGTTTATTGTTTATTAACCATATAACACCCACGGCAAATCGGCCCAATTCAGGGTGAAGTCATGTGATAAAATTACATAGGGTGGTACATGGAAAACAGTAAGTAAAATCAGTCGATATAGCTGCCCAGTGTTCGGGCGTACTGGAAAGCCTCGCGCCGGAAGGACGTGGAGGGAGGGTAAAAGTCCACCGACGGGCTATGTGCCAAAAAAAAGATTGCACAACCGAGGAATACGCACAGAAAGACAGTTCTTTACGGTGTTCACTGTTCACTCTCCCGAAGGGCACATGAAACAAGTCTGTGCGACGGTTACACCTCCCAGGCACATTCAGACCAAACATCGATACCAGGTAAGCACAGTCGGTACGGTGGTGAAGGAGTTGCACAAGAACATGATATCGGTGTGAATGAGGCGGGCTTTGATGGACTCAATTTTAAAGGTTCGCAGTAGACTACGATAGTCCATAGGACCGCTCCTCTGCGTTTTAGCACCTAGCCATATGAGACAGCGGTGCTGTCTGCTGTAGCCGCTCCAGCCGTACCAGTTGGGACTGGGCTGCACCGCTCCAAATGACACTTCCGTATTGGAGGACAGACCTAACATGACCATTGATCAGATCTGAAGAACAGATCAGATTGTTTCGACTCACGTACCCGACGAAGAGCGTCGACAAATGGCTGCAGTCCTCTCTCATCCTGCTCGGAAGGGCACGAAGAAGCTGGAAGGTAAATGTCTCAAACTGGACGGGACTCTCCACGGACGCGTCACCTCGAAAACGAAGTCCCTCTTCGACCCCCTTGGTGCATCTCCTGACCTTACCAGGTCCGTTCGTGAGTGGGACTTCGATCCAGCCTACAGGCATGCCAGGGAGAGAACAGCTGCACTGTCAGCTGTGAATGATGCAGCTGAACGAGGGATCGCTCTCATCGAGAAGTTCAACAACTCCATCACACGAGATGGACAGCAGAAGCAGCACCCATGCTCAAACTGGTCCACCGCCATCGTCAGGTGGTGGGCCGCGAGAAGAAGGCTGACCTTGCCAAGAATGTGTTCTGAGTTTCTGTTAGGCCTAGGCAAGTAATTGGTGGCAGAGAAGTGACTCACTTTGCATTCAGTTGTGATCCAGTTCACTAACTCCCAGTAGATAATTCGCTACAACCCAGAACAACATGAAGCGTTATGGCGCGACCCCTAAAACTGACTCGTTCGTTCTCATTTTTTCTTGGTTTCATGTTCTGTTGTTAGGGACTCAAGGGAACATGTGTCTCTACGGTTTCAATGGCGTTGGTACTTTTGGGACAGGCTAACGTACCCCCATGGTTTTTCGCAAATAACTCGCGTAAAAAGCGGCCGATCGCGACGAAACTTTCAGTACCCTCGCGTTCATCAATTTTACACCTACCCTGAAAATTTCATGACCCTGACCCAAATGAACTTTGACCTGAGACCTACTTTTCGAGACCATGTTTGGCCGGAATCGCGATTCGGCGTATGTCGGCTCGCATTAGCCGCGCGTTTGCAGTCTTTTCGTGGTTTCAAGCGTTCAAACATGTGATATGATGTTGCCCCCATGCATTAGGGTGGGTGTCAAGGTCACCTGAAGGTCAGGTCAGGTCATTGACCTTTGATGACCTCGGTTCACTTTTTTCGAGTTTTACATGTTTCTAGACCAGTTGTTGGAGCTGAATTCGAATTTAGCAGCCATATGAACATTTACGAAGTAGTTTTGGTACCTTCGTAACATGTTACGAAGCTGTTAGAGGCGGTTGCCACCTACTACGAATACCCTTACTGGTTGACCTGACCTGACCTGACCCGACCTGGCCTAAATGCATGAAGACATCATCTGTGATTAAAACTAACATGATATCGTGATCAGCACCCCGAAAAACCCCATAGCAGCCACATTTTACGACGTTCTAACAGGTCCCGATTTTCCCGACTTTTGGGTCATTGACCTGACCTGCAAGGTCAACCAATGACCTAGGACCTTAAAATTGGGTATCATCGGCTTCCTCTTGTCACGGGCAACACGCTCGTTTTTTCCGCGAAGCTCTAGCTCGATCAGGGGCGAAACGGCAAGGGGGGTCCAACGGACCCCCCCTCCCCCTTTATACGTTCGCGGCTGGAAAAACACCAATACGGGCGAGGGTTAAACCAGCCGTCGATTCAATACAGCGCTATAACTACTACAAACCACCGCCAGCGCAAAAGTAATTATATGACGGCACGGCAGACGAAGGCTACGGTACCTCGGTGATAGGTAATTGTCCATGGTCTCGGATACCGGGGTTGTTTTTCAGCATTTCGCGATGTGCGCGACCTCTATGAACGTGGTGCCTCGCATCGAGACATCAGTGTCGGCAAGTATCCTCACAGCCAGCAGGAGTGGTTTTGCTTAGCCAGCCAGCAAGAAAGTCCTGGATTTAGGCGCATATTTGCTTACAGGAGCTCAAAAACTTATCACGCGGATGTTTATGACGTTTACGAACTGCTAGCGCTGTCACCAAGCGGATGCAACAAGCGAGAAGGCAATGTCGGTCAAGATCAGAGGTGCAAGTTTTAGCCTTGGACGACACCGCAAACTTGAGAAACCAGGCAGCGGGATGAATAAAAAGATTTCGGCTTAGTAAGCTTTCGTGGCGCGTGGAGGGCTACGCTTGCACTACAATATCAACAGAACAATCAGCACACAACTAAGCAGCAGGTTACCCTATCAGTCAATGCTGTTTGAGCAGCGTTAACTTCCTGGGTGATTGAATACGGTTAACGAAGTGATGTACGATGTTTACTTCCTGGTCCATACCAAAATGAAGGCCGGAATGAATGCAAGCTAACCTTAGGGATTGCTGGGGCCTGTTCAAAATAGATACTATGGCGTTTCTTATTTACGAAAACCCAGATTCACCGTTCAAATAATTCCAATATTTTACCCTGTGGTAGTTTCAGAACAAGAAACTAGCACACCAAAATGTGGAATAGCCAATGTTTGAGATCATTCACATGAAGATATGTCCCCTGTCTATCCACATATGTCCATCGCGACATTTCATTGGTCCACAATGTTTCCCAAGACACCACAATGATCCACATTCCACTGTATTCACAATCATAATGTCACACCACACAGTACAGCACGGCCCGGTCGGCTCCGCGGGACCGCCGCGCCCCCTCTCTCCCGAACTAGCCGGATTCGACGGTCCCCCTCTCTCCCCGAACTAGCCTGATTCGACGGTCACTCCCAGCGTCGCGTTGTGTCCACATAGTCGCCGTCGGGCGCGTCGTAGCCGTCGATGGGTGGCGTCAGCGTGGGTCCGCTGTGCGCCCACGGTACCAGGTCGGGGTCCTCCTGGGGACGGATAGCGGGGAGATTATCAGGCGAGTAAACGGGGACGAAACAAACACTTAGAAACACACATACGAAGGATACGGACATAGGAACACATGCAAGGTCGGAAACAGGCACACAAAGACAGAGATGCACCAACACAGACACACGGGCTTAGAACGCGGGCGCATGTGTACAATAAATCGAACACCGACAGGTTGATGAGCTGGTAGCGGCAGCGGCAACATGGACACGGACATACCGAACAAAGATACACGGACACAGACACACAGCCAGGGGGCATAGACACAGACAACATTGGCACATGAACAATGGACATAGGCTACACACTATACAGACACATACACAAAGATACAGGGTCCGGAGCGGGCCGTTCGAGGCTGCAATCACGGCGGGACAGGAGGTCCAAGCGCACTGACCTCGATGGCAGCGCAGTAGAGCTGGAACGACTCTGCTCGGAGTTCCCTGAGCGCCTTGGCTCGGGATTCCTGGATCCGCCGTAACACCTGCAGAGACACAAGGCCAATAGGTTAGGGCACACCAACGTTAAACATACCTATACCTATCTTGTAGATTTACTGCTAAGTATCTAACTATTATATTCTTTAGGGAAAGAAGAGGATGGTACCAAACGTCTTCTATGTGTTTATTGTTTTATTGATGTCAAAATAAGCTACATAAGCAGTCATTTTTTATGCAGCTCCGAAAATAAGCAGCTTATGCTCTTGTTATACATGATATTAAATTATCTTCAGGTGGCTTAAACATATTGAAATATCACATCCCACCGACCAGCTTCCATTGCAGCACTGGATTGACAATGACGCTAAACGTCCCCACTCAGCGTCACAAAAAGTTCAACTGCACCGGTACCAACGCTCGCCGCTCGCTCCCTCCAGCCGTCCTTACCGCCACATCTGCCACGTGCTGTTCGCGCCGGTGGCGGGTCCACTCCTTCATCAGATCGAACCTCTCATTGGCCTCCTCAGTGGTGAGCGGCCGGGCCGGCCGGCGACGCTCGCTGGAGGGGACAGAGGGCAGCGTCAGACACGGAGAGTATGGGGAGGGTGGCGGGAAGGTAACGATGCTGCTTACTGAATAAATGTGATGGTTTAGTACTGAGTTTAGTACTGAGCGCGGGCGGCCGCGCCGAGTATAAGCAGCTGAACCGCCAGTGCCGCTCGGCTGTGCGTAGAGAGAGTCGAGAGCGGTACGAGAGGGAGATCGCGCGTGGTGATCGCGGTGGGCTGTGGCGAGTGTTACGACCTGTAATTGGCTCGAAAAAGCAGCAGTGCGAGATACCGAGCATAACCGCTGACGCACTGAATGACTATTACGTGTCAGTGGGGCCTACCACTGCTGCTAGTGTGCCACCTCCGACCGCAAACGTGCCTACCCGGCTCCCGCGAGTGTCAACATGCTCTTTTTGTGTGGAAACGGTGGACGCAGACACGCTATATACCGTGCTTCTATCTATGAAACCGTCCAATTCAACTGGAGACGATGGCATTAGTGTGAGCATGTTGCAGAAGTTTTTCCACGGCGTAAGACATGCGTTACTAGATGTTGTCAACTTCAGTTTGATCTCTGGTGTGGTCCCACGAGCGTGGAAACATGCGCTGGTGACACCTATCCCTAAAGGAAAGGTTACAACCAAGCCGTCCGATACACGCCCCATTTCTATTCTTCCGGCTATTATGAAGCTCGTAGAACGCACTGTTCAGACCCAATTAACAACGTACTTAGAAGAAAATCATCTTCTTGCTGATGCCCAACACGGTTACAGGAAGCAGCGGTCTACAGAAACCGCGCTTCACGTAATAACTGATAGGGTTCTTCACGCAATGGAAAACGGCAACATATCAATTTTGGTCTTATTGGATTTGTCCAAATGTTTTGATGTAGTGCCACATCAAAATTTACTTCGAAAACTTGCACTGTATGGCATTGACACGAAATGGTTCAGCAGTTATTTGTCTGATCACACTCAGCAGGTTAGGCTGTGTGCCGGTAAAGGACGGAACGTACTGTCGCGCTCACGAGAAAATAACATTGGTGTTTTTCAAGGCGGAGCGCTATCATGCGTCATGTACATGTTGTATGCCAACGACCTCAGCCTCAGTGTCTCAGATGATGTAACAATTGTCCAGTATGCAGACGATACACAGCTGTTGGTCAGCGGAAAGAAACGTGACGTGCAGCGAATGGTGGCCTGTATGGAGAACGCCTTACACCGTATGTATCAGTGGTTTTGTGCTAACGGCATGATGCTTAACACAGCTAAGACACAAATGGTCGTATTAGGTACACCAGCGATGCTGCGCGACCTGCCCTTAGTCTCCCTTCACTTTTGTGGCACTGTTGTTGCTGAGTCGCGAGCCGCCAAGAACCTGGGTGTTTACGTTGACCGCCATCTCAACTATGAAACGCACATCGACAATGTAACTAGAAAGTGCACGGGCATTCTTATTGCTCTGACTCATGCACGTCACGTGATCCCAAGAGTGACACTGAAATCCATTGTCGAGGCACTTGTCCTTTCTGTGTTACGGTATTGTTTGTCAGTGTATGGTTCGTGTGGCATGACGCAGCTTCGACGTGTACAAAAACTTGTCAACTTCTGCGTTCGAGTAGTGACGGGCAAGAGGCGATATGACCATGTATCTCAGTCCCTGGAACAACTGCAGTGGCTCACTGCTGAACAGCTTGTGATATATCACACTGTGTGCGGTCGAGCGGGTTATAGTTTCAGGGCAGCCTGAAAGCATCATGGCGACTATTGGTCTGCGGACTGATCAGCGCCACAGCCATAACACGAGGCAGGCCAGCCTGTACACACTCCCGACTATCCGAACTGAGGCAGGGAGGAGACGGCTGTGCTACCGAGGAGTAGGGCTACTGAACAGTGTCGGTGTGGAGCCCGGAACGTGCGGGTTCCGTTCTGCAGTCAGACGCGCTGTTAAGTCGCAGTAGGGTATACCTGACTTCATCATGTGCGTGATTGTAGCTGCCAGCTGGTATGTCTGTTTCGCCGTGTCCACAATGTTTTAATTCGCTTACGTGAACTTGTGAAAAGCCATTGTTTTATAATGGATCTTGTTCGAATACATCTATCTATCTATCTATCAGTTATGCACCATAATATTGCAACTGTACCCTGATGGTTTTGACTGCTGGTATCCCTTTCCAAGGAGCTCACTGATCGGTCCCAGTCGGCAGTCATGCTTCATCGACGGTCCCCTCCAGATAATTTCACAGCCTTCGTGAGCTCGAAGGCTGTGACTGCCTCAGTCAGCAGACTGCCTCATCCCTCCCCCGGACCTTAACCCCCCATCCCTCCCCCCACCGATCGTCCCGGGTCTCACCTCAGTTCGGCGCGCACCTCGCGCGGAAGCTCCATCTCGGCCAGAGGTTTCAGCTGGCGGGAGCTCTTCTCCAGCCGGCGGATGGCCTTCTCCAGCTTACGTCGGCGCCGCTCCTCCCGCGCGCGCACCACCGCCGGGTCGATACGCTTCTTCTTCTTCAGAGGCTCCGCACTGAGGTCGGACACACGGTCAGACGGTGTGTACGCACAGTGTAACGTAACCCATCCATCGCACCCACAAACTATTAAAACAAGTGGCTAAGCTTGAAGGACAAAAAGTTTGGGAGATATTGAACACGTTTCTCTCCATTTATGCATCCCTTGATGCTTCCACACAAATGTTTCAAAGTGATGGTACACCAGCATTGCATTCTCATAGTAAAATAGAGAAACCCAAGCTTTCTTAGCTAGTAATTTACCTAACAACCATATTGTCTGGACCATGCCCACCTACCAGAGTGGGTGTGATACAGCGATGGCAGCTGCAGAAGAGGTGCTGATGTCCTTCCTCGTGGAGATGGTTAGAGCACACAGGCTCCGCGAAAGGCTGCACCATCCACACATGAGGGAGTGAGCATCAGAAAACACACATCACACATAGCGTACACAGACCACAAACATGTTAAGCTGCTGTGCCTTGATAACCCATGAACAATGTATGTGAATGAATAAATTAAAAAAATGAATTCAAGTAAATGAATTGGAAGGATGAGCGAAGCAAAATGGAACAAAGCCCATTCAAACAAGATATCCACATATCCACATTACCACACACATTCAAACAAGATATCCACAATACCACAAATATAATCATATAATACGTAAGCAAAAAGACCAGCCTATGCACAAACCTCATATCCAGGACATTAGCTGCCAGCCTCTGCACTGTTGACAGCCCCAGAGAGAGTGCCATGGTAGGATCTGAAACAGTCAAGCAAAACTGTAAATCATATAAACTAGAGACTTAGAGAGACCACAGCTGGCACATTAGTGGTGTTTGCTGCAGGTTGGTGCAGACTTCCAGCCCCGACTGGAAAAAATGCACGCTTTCGTCGAGAACTCGAGCGTAGTTGGGCGTTTGCGCCGAAAATTTTCGGCGTACTTCGGCGTAAATCGACGGCTTGCGCCGAAATTTTCGGCGTACTTCGGCGTAAATCGCGAAAAAACCGTCAGGGGGGTGGCACCAACCCCCCCTCGGCCGGCGAGGATTAAATGTCTTCGGGAGTTAAACATCTTAAATATCACTTATCTTGTCTCGTGTTCGTCTCAGGGTATTTAAGTCATGTTCAGTGAACCTGATTGTGACTCTCCCACGGCGGGAACAGTTCACCGGTCGAGAGTGAGGTTATGGATTGTCGGATTCCCTAGTTCAGATAACGTATGCTATCGTGTGCGTATTGACCGTTGTGATTCCTGTATTTCCGGCGTGTGGTTTGCGAGCGGACGCTGGCAATCGGTCCCGCGTGGCTTGGTATCTGCCCGATCCCATCGGCCGTGCTTGCACCACGCCTGTTGAAGGCCCCGTCAGGCGTCAGTCACCGGCTGGGCACTACTGCTGATCAGAGCCGGGCAACAAAATAAAGGTTACGTTATGGAACATGCCAGTGAGTTTGTGAGTCAGGAGATTTTGTGATAGCGAACGCTGGTGCTCGGTCCCGCATGGCCTGCTGATGTCTATTGTCTGCCTGATCCCGTCGACCGTGCCAACAACCGTCTGTAGACAGTAGTCACTGGAAGACAGCCACACACACACGCCAGCCCCCCCCTCGACGAAAAGTGCGTGGCTACAGCCTGCAGCCATCAGTAAGCCTTGAAAATTTTCGGCGCATGAAGCATGGCTTGGTGAAATAATTTCGGCGCATAAACCCTTGCACCGAAATTTCGGCGCATCACCTCCGCCGAGAACTTCAGCGTAGTGGAGGCATTTTTTCCAGTTGGGCTTCCAGCCTGAGCCTGGTTAGTGAAAGATGGTGCAGATTTCTAGCCTGGTTGGTGCAGGCTGGCGTGGATTTCCAGCCTGGTTGGTGTAGGCTGGAGTAGATTCCAGCCTGGTTGGTGCAGGCTGGTGGGGATTTCCAGCCAGTTTATTTTCCCCACCGACACCCACACAGACACTACAGAGCACTCTTTCTCTGTCAGATACTCAGATCCATCATTGTATGGAACTCACTGCCCAAGACCTACCTATAGACCTTGACCTATGCCATTAATCCCACCCCCCACCCGCACATTTGCGCAAACCTCTTAAACTTTTAGGTCGCCCCCGAGTGGCAACACAATCAGCGAGCAAGGCATATAACCTATAACCAAATCAACATCCACGATCCAGACCAAATCCAGACCAATTTACACAAGGCATAACCCACATATGACAATTTTCCCTTCTGACTGTTCACGCGCAGGATTTTTATTTTTTCCTTAAGCTAGTTGCTAGGCAACGAGAGAGTATGACATTTTTTTTAACGCTTGCGAGCCTGCTTGGGAGTGATGGAAGCCAGCGCGAAATATTATTTTTGAACAGTAGTTTCACTTCATTTTTGAAGCAAGAGCGTCATAAACGAAATTTATATTTCTTCATCAAGTTTTATTATAAATATGAAGAAAAAAACAAATTATTTTAATTTCCCACAACTTACTGTGGGCACTGGCTCACATCTTAAAAACAAAATTGATTCACAATTTGTTCAAGGAGAACATAACTTGACATTAACCTTTTCCATGTTTTCAGAAGGAACAAACATTTTCCGCGGAAAGGCGAATGTGTGTGGCCTTGGAATAAACAGCGCGAATAATTACAGGGTCGGTTGGATGGGTTGCATAATGCATTCCTCTGATATTTGATTTATAATTGCCAAAATGGAAATCTTCTTCCTTGACTAGTTAATCTGTGAGAAGAAGTGTTGTTTGATCTGTTGTTGCATTATATTTGCCTTGATGTCATTGTCACTTGTAATAGTTTGACTCACATAATTGTAATTGCTGCTCACATTTTTATTACAGTAGGCGGAACTATGGTCATGAGTACCCAAATATAGGAACGTTCCCATTTTTGGGAACGGAGTTCCCAAATATGGGAACGGGCGTTCCCATTTATGAGAACGGAAGGCAATTTTTCGGCCGTTCGCCCACTAAAACTCAAAAGTGCATCACGTCTCAAAAAAGTGCACGCTGATTTAAGTATCTACTAAATCTCCATTAAGTTATCTTTAATCTGACCGTGGAACAAGGAAATTGACCGTGGAATGATATTTTTAATGATTTTTTAAAAATGACAGAATGGTGGAAATATGGGTTATACGACATTTAACATGCAATTTTAAGGAAAATGAAGCATTTTTACATTTTGAGGTCAAGTATAATAATTTTCGCCTGGTTATGAAGTTTCATTCTAGCGACACCAGATGCTGACATATGCAAGCGAACACGCGGACAGTCCCGAGGTAATATTGCTGACTTTTGGTGTCGGGGCGATCGACCGCGTGGAACGTCAGTGATTTTACCGAACTACTGTTGTAAACTCAGTTTCAGTGGTTTAAAATCATTCAGCTGTATTTTATCAGCCCTGAAAGACATATTTTATTTGGATGCTAGCTGTTTAGCGTTGTTTTATAAGCAGCGTCATGAGCGTGGTTTTTGTCTTCGGCGTTTCTAAGCATGATCGTTTGGGGGGAATTTCTCTGATATAGGTCGCTCTGTGTGGCTTATTTATAATTTTTATGCTGATTTCGATCATACCTCGTGCCCATCCTACCAGGCCTTTTGCCACTTACACTCATTAAGAAAGGAAAAAACTAGATTTTCATTGGGACTAGGTGTTTTGAGGGTGTAACATATTCAGCGTTCCCATTTTTGGATACTTCTTGTGCTCGTCAACTCTCGTTGATTAGCAGACAGGTGCTTGACATGTCTCCACCCTCGGCGCGGACGGTGGATATAGGTATGGAAGACCTTGTTGAACATCGCTGAGCGTTGTGGATTACGTAATCCTGCAGAGGGGGGCGTGCCCGCTGCGAGATCGACGGGAATAAAAGCGCAGAAGACCGGGCGAAACATGCAACGGTCTTGCCGGAAAGGTCATCTGATGATTGTTGCGTTAACAATAATTTGCGGCGTTGGACGTGATGCTTGTTAAAGGAAATTGTTCACTTTTAACATGGGGTTTTGAGCTGGAATAGCAGTTTCGTAGCTTGAGCTGAGACTAGCACAAATCAGGAGCTTTTACGGCTCAACGATCACCATAGACGAAGATATTCCATTTCTCGTTCCGAAAAGAGTGCCTTGTAGAGGAATGCGTGCCTTGCACAGGAATGCAGCCACGTCATCGTCAGCAAATCAGCGTGCTGCTTACAGCCAATGCAGTATGCGTAGGTTTGAGCTACGCAATATGATTGGTCAATGCGTAATAAGCTTCCGCGTCAAACATTATTTTACATAGAATATAGTTCGTCCTATATTAAAATATAGAAAATAATTGTTTTTACAAAAAGGTTTTATTTTATTTCATGATTATTTTGAGCATAAAAAATCATAAATCAATAGCAAAATACTGATTTCAGGAAAGTGGACTGTTTCCTTTAATGAAAAGAGCCCCTGAAAGGCGTCGGTGAAATCGTTCCCAATTTTGGGTACGCCGTTCCCATAATAAGGAACGCTTGCAGCGCCAGTGTACGAGAGCGTTCCCAAATTTGGGCTCGCGGCCCGGGTGATGGACTGCTTTAGAAATAGGGGAACGATTTGAAACTACGATGGGCCTTACAATATCAAACTCTTTCCCAACAATATTGAGACAACTATCAGGCGGTTCACGATCGTTTTATATTTTTTGGACGTCATTTAACAGTTCTTTTTCTTGTTTTAAATAATGCCTACATGGCGTTCCCATATTTGGGTTTATCGTTCCCAAACATGGGAACGAAAATGCGTTCCCGAAAATGGGTACGCTTGACCATAGTTCCGCCTACTGATTAGGTAGGTACCTATGTGGAGCGGAACAAATTTAATTTAATATGAATGAGAACATGCTGGATCATTGTAATAAATACAATTTGATAACATTCTGGACCCAGGCCCCTTGACTGGTTACCCCAGACTCAGACTGGAGAAATCCGTGCACTACACCAATCACCATTGCCGAGTGCCCCAGGTAGGTAGCTATAAGCTATTTGTGTCAAAATTTGAAGCAAGCAATTGTTTTTTGTGCCAAAGTTTTAGCACAATTTGCATCAAAAGTTTAACTCATTTGTGCCAAAGTTTACCTTTTTAGTTTTTACCATTTACCTTTAAACCATTTTGATTTACTTCATAAGAATAGGAGGTAAGAAAGCACATGCAAATGCTTATCTACTATGCCGTAAATGCTAAAGCTTGGTAAAAAATAATAAGATTGGATAAAAAGCAAGTTAAACAGAAATGTTTTTCTATCTTGATCTGAGGGGACATGAGTCTGGTAGTGTTGATATAGTCATTAAATACCTATGATATGGTACCTATGATACATTTGGGTGCCCTAGGTATTAATCATTTTGGATATTGTCTCCCATTCACCATATACTACCAGCAGGGCTACACAGACTTCTTAAAGGTGTACTACATTTTATTTCACTGAGTAATATTGCTGATGAACCTCAATCTGAATCATTCCAGTTGGTCACCTGTACTGCAGTTTAAGCTCTGGAGAGGACACTTGTATCGACTGAGACAAGACAATCTGGACCTGGAGAAGCAAGAACATTTAAAGGTTTGAAGAATATGACAGTTAACAACAGTCCATGCTCATAAGAGTTATAATCTGTTGATATACAGTTTTGTGAAAGAAGACTGCTATTATTGTAAAGAAATAGCAGCTGACTGGTACTCAGATTATTATGGCTCAGGTGAAGCAGAAAGGATTTCAAAAGAACACTGGGAGGTATCAAGCTGATAAGGATGACAATTGGTAAGTACAATACAAGCTACTTCTATATTTCTCATCTGATAGTACAGCTGTAGTGGTTTAGGGAGGCATGCATGCATATATGTATGCATGCATATGTGTATTTAATATTTATGTGTGTATGCATGCATGTATATTAGGGTGTCCCAAATTTCACGAAGTTTTCCAATTCACTTAGGATACACCGGGATCCCGTTCCTTGGTTCATTTGAACCTCACACACCAATTTATAGAGTAAACTACCGGTAAACAAGGTTGCCGCTAGTGCTCTGAAGTTTTACTTGCATTTTGGTGTTATATGATAGTGCAGCGTTGTAGTCTCCGAATGCAAAATGGGAAATATGTGTAAGCAACGTAGCAATATTACCTTCTTCGATGCTCAGTGATGCTCAGATCCCACGCACATTGCACAATGATGAAAATCCGGGTTTATGTACGCATACATACGTGTGAAACTGTGTACGTGCGTGCCCGTATGCCTCTGTGCGTGTGTGTATATGTGAGTGTGTGTGTGTGTGCGCGCGCGCGCGACTGCGTGCGTGCCTACCGGATAGAAGACAATGCCAGTTTCAATCTTGGTGTGGGTGATTTCATGTGCCGCTGATTTCGTTTAGGAGTCAGCGATCAAATAAAGGTCTCAGGTTAGTGCTTCAAATGTCTCGCTTCAGATCGAACCGTCTGCGGCAATGGCACACCACATAAACGCAGATTGAACAGAATCAAATTTACATTGCAGCTATGGGTATTAAGTTCACCGTACCCTGACCTGAGACCGTCCACGCGTAACATCACCGTACCCTGCTCCGAGATCCGTCTAAACAAACATCATGCCTTGCTCTGAAAACCGTCTGAAACATCGTACCCTATTCTGAGCTGCGTCTAAAACATCGTACCCCATTCTGAGATCCGTCCTAAACATCATACACTGCTCTGAGATCCGTCAACAGCATCGTGCCCGGCTATGAGATCCGTCTAAAATATCGTACCCTGCTCTGAGATTCGTCTAAAACATCGTATCCTATTCTGAGATCCGTCTTAAACATCGTACACTGCTCTGAGGTCCGTCTAAAACATCTTACACTGTTCTAAGGCCCATCTACACTCTACAGTCTACACATAACGTCATCGCACCTTGCTATATATAATATCTGTCTACCACTACAGACCCACGTGGTCCTTCTTCGTGTGACCGTAAAGCGACCTGTGCCATGCCACCACCTGGACCAGCGCCTGCAGCTGGTCATCATCTTTCGTTCTGTCAATCATCTGTGTCAGCTTCACTCCGCGATCCGCTCCATCATTCATAACTGCCAGGCTGTTGACGAGTTTGTGAACTGCGTTGTAACCTGAGATACTTTTGCATTTTTTTGACAGGCTCTTGCAACCATTCGAGGGCGCGCTTATCTAGAAT